TGAGTCTTCTGGAGTTTCTGACAAAGCAAATCAGGCTGGATTGTGTTTAATGCACTGGAGAAATCAAAGAACATGACTCTCACAGTGCCGTCTGCCTTTTCTAGATGACAGTGAGTTTGCTGAAGCAGGTGTATGATGGCATCTTCAACTCCAAGTCCACGCTGATAAGCAAACTGCAGTGGGTCTTGATATGTATTTGTTTGTTTAGTCAGGTGGGTCAACAGAAGTCTCTCTAGGACCTTCATGATGTGGGATGTCAGGGCAACAGGTCTATAGTCATTGAGGACTGATGGGTGTGTTTTCTTTGGCACTGGAACAAGACAGGATGTTTTCCACAACACTGGAACCTTTTCCTGGGTCAGGCTAAGGTTGAAGAGGTGCTGCAGAACCCCACAGAGCTGCTCTACACAGACATTCAGGACTCTGGGACTGACACCATCTGGACCTGCAGCCTTATTCTGGTTCAGTCTCTCCAGCTGTTTCCTCACCTGACTTCTGGAGACGCAGAGGGGGGAGGCAAAGGAGGTATCAGCATCTTCTGATTTGGTTAAAGACCAATATATAGAAGAAGGGTCCATGACTGAGGTGGTAGATACAGTATTTGAGGTGTGACAGGACAGCCTTTGGTCAAAGGAGGGTGGTATATCTGATTGGCTTTGGGCAAGAGAGGAGGATGCTGAGCTTGTTCCTGAACTGAACCTATTGAAGAACGTGTTCAGTTCCATTAGCTCTGTCCAGTCTTCCATCATTCCGATCCTCCTTTTGCTTGAAGCCTGCGATCTTTTTCATCCCCGAACACACCTCTCTGATATTGTTCTGCTGGCGCTTGCTCTCCAGCTTTTTTTTTTGTACACGTCCTTGCTGTTTCTTATCTTGACTTTTCATTGCTTCTGTGTACTGCTCAAAAATTCCGTCCCCCTCCCTGAAGGCTCTTTTTTTCCTGGTTTAGCAGTTCCTTCAGGTCAGTGGTGATCCAGGGTTTGTTATTGGGGAAGCATCTCACTGTTCTGGTGGTGTTTACACAGAAGTTTATATAGTCAGTCACACACTTAAGTCATGTAATTGATGTCCTCTCCATGAGGCTGGCACAGCGTATCCCAGTCTGTAGCCTCAAAACAACCCCACAAGGCTTCTTCAGCTTCCGTTGACCATTTTCTTACTATTCTCTTTATTGCAGGTTGTCTCTGAACAAGGGGTTTATATTTTGAGCAGAGACACACAAGATTGTAATCTGATTTGCCAAGACGGGGTCTTGCTTTAGCGATGTATAAATCCTTGACATTTGCATAAAACAAGTTCAGCGTTTCGTTTTCTCTGGTAGAGCAGCTGACAAACTATTGGAATATCGGAAGTGTAGCAGAGAATGAAACATGATTAAAATCCCAATATTGCAACAAACACACTAGGGTGTTGTGTCTGTAGCTTAGCAACCTCGGAGCTGATGACATCACATGGCAACAGCATTGGGTGGAATGTAAACAAGTGCCAAAATAACAATGGTGAACTATAAAATGGACAACAACTTACTAACAGTTCAGTATCTGGACTGCTGAGACACCGTGACATCCTGGATTACATCATCTGTTGTTCACAAGCACTGCCCACCTCCTTTTCTTTTGCCACTCCTCTTTAAATCTCTATCTGCTCATTCGGTCAGAAAGCGTGGCAGGAAGATGCTGGAGTCAGGGATATGATCCTTCAGCCATGTCTCAGTGAAGCGCAACACTGCATTCCCGATACTCTGGATGGGTCCTTGTTAGGGCTTGAAGTTCATCGAACTTGTTTCCCAGCAATCTCACATTGCCCATCATGCTCAATGGAAGAGATGGTTCTTTCTTCTTCGCTCCTGCTCTGCACCTCCTTTTCAACTCATTTGGGATGTGAGGCTGACAGTGACCTCCTCGCTGAGGCGGCAGCTCTACCGTGCTGCCTGGTAAAATAAAGATCAATAAAATATAAATTGTACTGTAATTGGTAGGTTTAGTAATAATACAAAGACCTAGACATTTTATGTTGTCTAGGTCTATTTTTACTGAAACGTTTAGAAAACCAAAAAGCAGATGTTAAGGTTGAAGCCCCACACAAGGTCTTGAAGCTTGAGTTTACTTTAATGTACAAAACGGATTTTGAAAATCACTTTTTTAATGTTACGTTTTCAAATGCACTGACTTTTTGACCGTGTCTCCTGTAGAAAAAGCAAATTGGTTTTTACATACGTAATGTACTAATTTACAACTGAACAATTTCTATAAACTTTCTCTGCAAGTAGGCTACTTTTGTAGGATTCTTTCTTCTTTAAAAAAAAAAAAAAAAAGCAAGGCACTAAAGACGAAACTTGATATTTCAACAATTTATTGAACAATAATAATCTTAGACATTTCTTAAGGGTGTTACTTTATGTTCAGTAAGTGCAAGAACCAAAGCTTTTTACATGCACATGGACTATGGTTTTTTTTTTTTTGCTTGTTTTGACCAAAGATTTTTGCTCCTTTTTTAAAAAAAAATTTTTTTGCTGTTCAGAATACAGTGGCTGATGCAGCTTACCAACCACTTAAATAATATACACAATGAAATTTCTTCAATTAAAATGTAAAAGGAAAAAACAATTAAAATCCTATAAAAGAAAAAAAACAAAAAAAAGGTGTAAAATTCAGAAACAAACTGGTGCCGAGTGGATTAGTCCACGAACGAATGATACAAAGAAACTACGTCACATTGCTCAGCTGCTTTCTCTGTACGCTCATTAGTTTTAAATTATTGTAAATACTATGAAAACAAACAAAATACAAGTCGCACACTCGAAAATCAAGAAGCATTTTTCTTTCTGCTTTGAAGCGCCCATTAGATGAAAAGACTGGATTCATAACAGGTGACGAGATGAAAAACTTCTTGATGCCCCAACCACAACAACATTTAAGCCTCGTTATTCTGCAGCCAATCCATTTTTTTTCATAAGTAGACTGGGATGTATGTGTGTGTGTGTGAGAAACAGAGAAGATTACTGATGAGCACACTGTACTCCAGGTCCATGGTGGCTGCTTTCATCATCTGAGCTGTCGTTGTACGCCTCTCGACGGCCGCCTGATGATGAGCCCTGGCTCGCGTCGTAATCTTGCAGGTCAACCTCCTCTGTGTCGCCGCTGATCATCGGTGCGTCTGACCTTGAGGGAAGCATGTCCTCCAGCTCCTACGTGGTACACGTTGAACATAATTTAATTAAGAATACAACAGGATCACAGAACTGAAAGAAGCCGAGCTTTAATCAACTTAATGTGCGTTCCAAACAGGCAGAATGAAAACAGGCTGCTGAGCTAAATGAGTTGATATAGATTTTTGCCACAACTGAGATTTGTGTAAGAGCTATTGTAGTCTACCCCCCATTTGCATCTTTATAGACAAATAAAAATCAAGATTTTAAACCAGCACTCTCAATAATAAAATTTGCTTGTTAGCCAGATGCTGAATTGTCCAATTTCAACAAAGGATGTCTCAATTTAAAGCTTCAGAGATGAAGAATTTGAAAATAAAAACTTGATATTGATAAATTCCTCACTATGACTCATTTTACCAGCATGAATCACCAGTGTAAAAGATAATGTTCAGCATTTAACATTTCACCCATTTATTCTGTGATAGTGGCATCGCTGCAGCACGTTGAGCAGTTTCTTGCAAACAGGTTCAAGAAAACTTTATGGATGACTAAACTGTAGATGAACACTTTTACTGCACAGAGAAAAGCTGGGTTTTTAAATTTTAGATCAAGGGTAATGCTGAAGTAAAAAAAAAAAAAAAATTATAATTTCTTGTGAATGGCTTTACTGATTGCTTCTACTTTGATGACACTCGTGATGCTCCGAGGACAAACATGGTCATTTAAAGAAGGAACTTGTCATACCACAAGTTTTTCGGGGCTGATCCAGTTGTTGTCAGGAAACTGGACATCAAATTTGATAAACAGATCTCCCTTCTCAAAAGGGTTTCTGTACTGAGGCATGCCCTCTCCTCGCACCACCCTGACTGAGCCTGTAAAAAACAAACGCATGGTTTGGTTAAAACACATCAGGTTTAATCACAGATTTCAGACAAAACTGTCTGATCTATTACTTTGAAGAAAAACACTGTCCAGCATTTTGAATCTGGTCTGGCACGATAACTCACTCAGTCTAACACATTCCTTTATTTAACAAAAACATCAAAGCTTCAGACAGTTACAGTGCGGTCAATTTAATGGAGAACATGTTTGAAATAAAGAAGTTAAAGTTTATTAACCTGGTTCAATGACTTTTCCAGCGGGGTACTTGACAACAATCTGTCTTCCATCTAAGTGTTTCAGCATAAACTGGAAGCCACACAGAGCCTCCACGAGCCCAATCTTATGGTCCATGAAGAGATCATTGCCCTCACGCCGGAACGTCTGAAAACAGATAAGATAGCAGCACTGATCAAAAGGGAACAAGCTCCTTTTGAACATGTAGTTTTAGTACATGGTCTGATGTTCGTGGTTCTAGAGGTGTGAACTAGTTTAAAGTACTATACATTAGGTCAAAAGGCCAAAAAACATTATTCTTTGCCGTTCAAGGTGGATATAGAAAATAAAACTATATGGAAGCACGCATTTAATAATTTTACATTGAGAATTTTATTTAGTAAAAAAAAACACAAAACAATACAGTCTTGAAGTTTGAATTAAAACTTCTCAAACATATTTTGAACATGTGGTTTAATTTCCACAAAGGTTTAGAATAGAAACAGCCTTTATTGTCCCACGGATGGGAAATTCAAGTGTTTCATAATAATGAAATAGAAGTAACAAGTAATCAACTTCTCCGTCAGCTTCTTCTTAATCACACAAAGTGTTAAAGGTTACAAAAGACAAGAATCAGATGAAAAAGGCAGCGGAGCTGGGAGACTCCTCCACGTACCTCATGTTCCTTTTCCTGCAGGACAAGAACTATATCCCCGGGTTCAACGCTGGGTGCCTGGTCAGCTTCTCCTCCAAAGGTAATTTTCTGGCTGTGCTTCATGCCTTTGTCCACGTGTACTTCCAGAATCTTTACCTCCTTCACGACTTTCTTGCCTTCACATTTTTTACAGCGGTCCTTCTCACTGATAACCTCACCTGGTGTAAAGAAAGCACACGACAGAAACATTCACGTTACTTTAGGTTCTTCTGGTTTAGCTTTATATGGTACATATAAACCTGAAACGCAGTAGTCCTGCCACTGTGGATTTTACCTTCTCCATTACAGTCAGTACACACGGACTGCATCTGTTGGACCATCCCTGGGGCCAGCTGTCTGATCATGATGCGCATGCCACGGCCCCTACATGTTGTACATTTCTGGACAGCGCCCGTCTTGCCTCCTTGTCTGCATTCATACAGAGGAGGTGGTTATTGTTAAAAATATAAAGAGTCAATCTGACAGACTGAGAACTACAATAATAACTTACCCATTACAAGAACTACACAGTACATTCTTGCTAAGCTGTAGTTTGGTTGTTTTCCCGTTGTACAGGTCCTCGAGTGAGACTCTGTGGAAAGAGAAATATTTAGAAGCTGTTAATAGCTCAAACTCATCAGTGGAGTGAAAGATGAGGACATTTAACCTACTTGAGTGGATGGACCATGTCCTCGCCTCTCCTTCGCCCTCCGTTCCTTGATCGGCTTCCTTGTCCCCCCATGAAGCCAAAGAGTCCACCACCAAAGATGTGGGAGAAGATGTCTTCCATCCCAGGACCTCCCCCGCCTCCTTCCCGCAAGCCTTGTTCTCCGCAGCGGTCATATAGTTCCTTCTTTTCAGGGTTTGTAAGCACCTCGTAGGCGAAGCTGATTTCTTTGAACTACAATTTAAAAAGAGGAATACAAAGTAAATACAAAAATCACTTCTCTGGTGATGAAATCAATGAACGACAAGAGGTTTCAGATGAACCACAGTGGCCTGACAAATGAAAACAGACTTTTGAAGACTGATTTTCATTATCTCTGGTTATTTCTTCACATGACATTTAACTGTACAAAAAATTAGGGAATCAATACAAAAACTAGATTTGGAAAGCCATCGCACAAGTTCATATTGACACATACTTGACATCATCACTGGAAAAATACAATAAGTGTAAACATTACTTTCTTCTGACAACACACAGGAGTACACATTCCCTTCCTTTCAGGTCATTTACTTTTACAATCCCTCTCAGTATGTATCTAAAGGAACTCCAGATGATTTCAGATGTGACTGCTGCTGCTCATATTTTCTGTTTCACAAACATGCAAGGTGAATGACAGATAAGGCACTCAAAAATCTGATTACCTCTCCAGTCAGTGAACCCACCACCACAAAGCACTCCCTACTGCTGGCAAATTACACCTTCAAAAATAAAACCTAGAGCTAGTGATGGGCAGGCAAGGCCTTTCTTACAATTGTGCTGAAAAAGATGCAAAGCGTTAAGGTTTCAGTGATGGAGACATCAGGTGGACAACTGAAGCCACAGCAAGAGCAGGACTGAAGCACTGGCAACATTTCAATCCCATGCCAGCAAGTAAAGTTGAGAAAACACCACTCAGTCTCGTGTTTCATTGATCAATAAATTATGCTTCTTAGACAATAAGTAGTACAACTAAGATCTTTGTTGAAAGAAATACATTTGTTAAAAAAAACAAAAAAAAAACACTTAGGGGTTGACACACTCGCCCACAATCAATTAATAAACGAATAACTAAATTTTACACCATTGGTTGGTTCTTTAACTATCTTTCAGACCGGAGGCAATGTGTTCAACATAATGGTACTTCCTCCAGTTATTTAACAGTCAACAATGGTGTACCACAAGGCTCAGTCTTAGGACCCACCCTCTTTACAATCTACATAATAATGTAAGTCAAAACATCCCTGATGCAGCCATACATTTCTATGCTGATGACACAGTTGTTTATTGTCGAGCTAAAACTGTTGCTAAGGCTTTCCAGCTTTTGAATTCTGCATTCAACAACATCCAGTCTGATTTGTTCCGCCTCAAACTTGTCCTAAATGCCAACAAAACCAAAGGGATGCTTTTTTCAAACAGGAAGTTGGTCCCTGCAGTTCTTCCTCTGATTTCATCCTCAAATGGTGTCCACATTGAGTTTGTTGATTCCTATAAATATTTGGGTATCTTGGTCGACCCGCATCTCTCTTTTAAGCTCCATGTGGAAAACTTGGTAAAGAAACTGAAAGTTAAACTGGGTTTCTTTTTCAGAAACAGATCCCGTCTAACTTTGAATGCTAAGAAACACCTTGTAACTGTGACTTTCCTTCCCTCCATTGATTACGGTGACATTATTTACATGAACGCTCCTACAAGAACCCTGCAGATGTTGGATGCTGTCTATCATGGTGCACTAAGATTCATAACTGGCTGTGATTATCGTACCCACCACTGCACCCTGTATTCACTGGTTAACTGGACATCATTAACTTCACGCAGACACTCTCACTGGTACATTTTCATCTTTAAATCACTTCTTGGTCTGCTGCCTTCATACATCTCCTCCTACATTTCTCTGCGTGAGTGCAGCTACAGCGTGCGCTCTCAGGACATTATTACCTGCAGTGTTTTCCCTCAGTGAGGACTGAACTAGGCAAAAGGGCCTTCTCCTACTCCGCTCCTGTTTCCTGGAATATCTTACAAAAAGATTTGAAGCTCTCGACCTTGACCTCTTTAAGTGTCTTTAAGAATCTGCTGGACACCTGGCAGGGACCAACGCAGACATGTTCCTGTTTTTAGTTTTTCTACATTCGCCTTAGAATCTAGCTGTTTTTTTGTTACCTTTTTTTTAGCCATCCTATTTGTTTAAAACCCTGGAGTATGACTTTTTAATAACTGTTTATTGTTGTCGCTGTTGTCCATTGTTATCATTCTTTGTTGAAATCAGGTCTCTCTTGTAAATGAGTCCTCGAGGCTCAATGGGATTTACCTGTCTAAATAAAGGTTGAATGAATAAATCTAATGACATTCACAGCTTTAAGCTTGATTTAAAATCTGGATTAAAGTCCAGTGGAACTGATCATGGTGTTTGGATGAACTGAAAAACTTTTTTTTTAAGTGTTAAAAAAAAAAAAAAAAAAAAAAAAACTAACATTCTACCTTATTTTGTGATACAAGACCAAATAGATCCCAAATTTCTGAACTCCGCTAGTGGTTGTAGTGGCCATGAAAATCACCAAATCACACCAAATTCACTCTGCAGATCTCCATCTCCTCACAACCCATCATGTTTGAATAATGATGATGCGTCTCGTACAGCTTGTATGGCGCCAAACCACTGAAAAGCGTCAAACCTGTTCAGCAGTAATTGTCTCATAATGCACTGAAATATACTGAAACAAAAAAATCCAGCTTCTAAACAATTTGAAGAAATGAAACACAAAGAGAAGCAGGGAAGACGTCAGTACCCTTGAACGTCACTGGTCATGTGACAGTGACACAAATCACTGGAGGAGCAACAGAAGTCTCGGGGTAATTATCCCATCACTACCTACAACTCTACGTTTAGACAGGCTAAATGTTGAATGGCACTACACAAATCAGTAATTTAACTTTGACAAATAACAACACTTTTTTTAACCAAAGATTTTAAAAGTTAAAAGTTACGACACAGACCAAAAAAAAGACAGTGATTAAAAGACAACACATTTAATTTGCTGAAACTGCTCACTTGGGAAAAAAAAAAAAAGCCAGTATCTACTAACAAATTACACATAGCAATAGTAGGAAAAGTCAAATATGTGAATATGAAAAGTCTTACATACAACATGTTTAATCTAATTTGGACAAACAAGTTTATGATTTTCACACGAAATTAATTGAAAACTTTTTGAGATTGTTCTGTGCATACCAGCTAAATAATCTGGTATGCAAACAAAATCAGCCAAACTCAACCGATGAGTTAATTCCATTCAGTCTACTCTTTCCAATGACATCAACAATATATATATATATATATATATATATATATATATATATATATATATATATATATATATATATATATATTTACATACACACTCACCATCATTCTTTAAAGTCACCCACAATTATCACAGACGGTTTAAAATAAATGACAGAGATTGTCATTGTCTCACCTTGTCACCAGCATTTGGATTCTTGTCAGGATGATATTCTTTTGCCAGTTTACGGTACGCCTAGAAGAACAGCAACAAAAACAAGTTACTTCCTACTCTGGCAGCTGATCTTTTGTTAGATGTGACTCATTAAACAGGAAGCTGCTGTTTATATCACATGTGGAAACATCAATGCTAACACGATTAAACTCCACATGTGCCAGCCAAAAGCTTCACAGAACAACCTGGTTCAGACATTTCTTCATCAACTAAAGGCCGGAGAGTTTACTAGTCTGACAGCTGTTTATCAGTTTTATGAATATTACACAATAACCTGCTGTTTTAATCAAAATCGAGCTGCTCAAAATGTCTGACAAATTTACTGCCAACATTAGTTACCGAGGCTGCGCCAGGTAGCGTCAAATGCTAACACAGAAACAAGAAGAAACAGCACAAACAAGCGTACAACACTTATATTAAACATCATATCTAATAAAGATAAAGTATAACCCGACAATAAATTTAAGGGCTGGCTGAATAATTAACCCATTAAAACAGACTCATAATCTAGTTAACCAGCTTGGAAACGAGCACGACATGGAAACGTTGACTTGGCAGGATGAGACTGAACAAAATGTTACATTTACAATATTACATTATTAAATAAGACTCGCGGGTCAGTGTTCTTGGTTTTCAGCCTTCGTATCAGCCGCTCTGCTTTAGCTAGAAACTCGTCTCTTTAAAAACATAATATATAATTATTAGCTGTTGACCACATGTCGATTGAGCGTTTGTCGACGCTAATTTTTAAGGAAAACGACTAAATAACATGATGTTCTTACGACGCCCGGACACAAATCAAAACGCGACACAGCCGGAAGCTAGGCTAAAGCTAACGTGAGGTTAACATTTAGCTCAAACGTGTGGGCTACAAGTACTAACTTTTTACTTGACAACTATTAAGTCATACAGCGAGGTAAACCTTTACAGCGACTGGTCGTCTGCTATTAAAATCAGCCGCTATGAGTAATTTTTTTACAGCCGAAGTTTTACAGGCCAGTTAACATGCTAACAAGCTAACCTAGCATTAGCTAAACGAGCTTAGCAACGCATTTCCTGGTTGGAAACGTTTTTAACGTTTTGAAGCGTTTACAGATGCTGCAATATATCCGTCTCTTTCCGTATAATTACCTTCTTTAGTTCACTCTCGGTGGCGGACGGAGACACCCCCAGGATGTCGTATAGTCTTGTATCGGCTACGTTGGCCATGATGTTGCTGCTGCTGTGGATGTTTCTTCGACGCGGAGCGGAGGAGGACGGGACAAAGAGAAGGGAGCCGGTGGAAGGTGTTCAGCTCGAGTTGGGGTTCAGTTTCCGGGAGGGTTCCGGTATCTGTGTGCGCGCTGCTGCCGCCTCGCGGCTAATATCCGGAATTAACCAAAAATTAGCCACATGTTTTGAGGTTGTTTTCACGGTGCAGGAGCAATTCAGTTAAATTCAGTTTATTTATATAGCGCCAAATCACAACAGAAATCGTCTCAGGGCAATGTACAGAAACATTCACATACATTAAAATTCAATTAATAACGTTACTTATCTAAATTAAAAAATGTTCAAGACAAAAACAACTGGACTTTATTTGTAAGAGAAGACGTTTACCTTCTCATCCGAGAAGCTTTCTCAAATCAAAGAGCAGAGCGTGTGGGGTTCAGGTTATAAAGCTGAGATAAGAAACACATACATATGCAGATTGACATATCACACCTCACAGGAGGGGTTTGTTAAGGTCTTTGTTAACCTAATTCACAGATGAGTCCCCTCTGTTCCCATATGATAGGTGTGAAACAGGCTGGGTATCAGGCTATTTATCTAAAGGAGCCAGCAGATTGCTTTGGGTTTTCACTTCATTGCAGTCTCCCATCCTAAGCAAGCATAAAGGCAACAGTGGAAAGGAAAAACTCCCTCATGAGGAAGAAACTTCCAGCAGAACCAGACTCAGGACAAGCGGCCATCTGCTTCGAATGGCAGCAGAAAACAATCCCTCCACACTGACACAGTGACATTTTTGGCATTTTCTTGAGGAATTTAATGTTATTTTTAACGCCAGGACGACAGACTTTTCTTTACAATAAAGTGAGATGTTTTTTTTTTTTTTAAATTGACTAAATAAAATTAAACTAATTTTTAACTTTATTGCAACAACACATCTTTAAAAAGTGTAGATGGGGCAACAGAAATCAAGTTCAAGTTCATTTATTGTCATTCGCATCACACGTGGCACATGAGGTGGAGTGAAATTGTGTACCCATGGCCCCAGCTACGCCCAAAATAGCAAAAAATATAGTATAAAAGGGACAGTAGGCCTATGTAAGGATCTAAGATATACACTAAGATAAATGCTAAACGCTAAACGAACAGCTAAAATCTAAATGTAAGAAGTATGAATGGGAAACATCTGGAATAGGGTTTTTTAGGGAGCACAAATGATGTCTGGGAAGAATGAGGACTTTAAGAAGTCTTCCCTTTTCAGGAGGTCTTCTATTACTGGCTGGTAGAAGAAGATGCTCAGCAAGGCCCAGGATGAGGAAAATGAGGTTGTGCCTTTCCCACCTGGTGGAGATGTATGTAGTGCAGTGGCTGAAGTCTGAGCTCGATGCTCATGAAGCTCATTATTCATGCACACAGTGAACTGCCTGGTTTACGGCTGGTCCATTTCTGCACAAGTTTACGGGGAATAGCTGTACACACAAAGCTGAGATGAAATCCACAAGCAGTTCTTACGCCAGTGTTTTTCTGATTCAGATGTGTAAGCTGTGCAAACAGCTGTCAATCTGTACAGGATGCAAACAGATGTTGGTCAAGACCAGTGCAGAAGCAGTGGGAAAGGATGAGTCTCTTAAAACCACTTGGTGATGGTCAGGTGAGGGTGAGCAGGCGATAGTGGATTTGTTTTTGGTTCTGAGATGACCGTAGCCGACTTCATGAGGACCATAGACTGCAGTGGATGAAGAGGATTCTGAGTAGCTTTGCTCCTTTCAGAGACTCCATCTGGTCCCGCTGCTTTTCTCTGAAGTCTCCACAAAAATAAAATAAATCAATAAAACCCAGCTGATGTTGAATAATTTGAACCAGTTGACTATAGCTAAAGATAGTGTTCATGTTCCTTTAGGATAAGATTTAGACCAAAAATCCTTTTCATGTTGACTCGTTTATTCTTCCAGTTTTCTGGGTGCAGCACATGCTCTTCAGATTTATGACATAAATATGGTTTCTCTTCCTCTTCAGAACAAGGGCAACACTTTCAATATATATTATGAAAAGATATGAAGTTTAATGATAAATCACAAACTTTGACACCAAATGGTATTAATGAGGATTAGACACACCTTTTCAGTGCTTTATATACAGTAAATTCAATTGAAACTTTTATTTTTCAAGTTTTTGTGGCTTTAATCTTCAGAACAGGATTAAAACAATTTTACTACCAAGTCCTGCTTCCATAGCAGTTATGTGAGTAATTCAAGGATTCAAGGACTCAAGGTTCTTTATTGTCATTTGCATCACATGTGATACATGAGGTGGAACGAAATTGTACACACAGGGTTCCATTTACATCCAACAATAGCAAAAATATAAAGTGTAAAAGAAACAGTAAATAAGGATCTATATAAACTAAGATATACGCTAAATGAACGCCCAACGCTAAAAGGTCTACCGTAAGTTCTTAAGATTTTAAGAGCCACTAATAATGCAAAACAATACACCGAACAACAGCAGCAGATTCTCATAGGTTCTGTTCAGCTATAATTTACACGCTAATGAGAGCGGAGTCAGGCTCGGAGCCGACCCCCAAACCAACATAAACTGGGGTTTATTCAAAGCATGCAACAAAAATACAGAAACAAGGCACCAAAAGTGAACAAGAAATCAATCTACAGCAGCATGGTCCTATTGGTAGAGTGGTTCTGATGACAGTGAGGTTATCTTAGCAACGGAAAGAGGTCCTGAATCAGACTCAAATCAGCTAAATGTACTAGCTAAAGGGCTGGTGCAAAAGGGTTCTTTCTGTGGTGGGCTGCCCTGAATTGGGGCTTATTAGGGGCGGTGCAAAAGGGGCAATAGTCCCGTTGGCCCCATGGTACTGTTAGCGGCGTGGTGTTGTTAGCAGCATTAGCAGGTCTCGTTAGCAGGTCCCTTCAGCAGCATGACAACAATAAGGCCCGCAGCAGCTGCCTCCCAGACTGCCCTCCAGAATCGGATCTGGCAGACGGAGACCATCCAAGGTTTCCCCGTGGAACCGAACAGGTCCATAGAGTTTGGTCCGTGCAGGCAGATGGAGGATCATAGAGACAGCTGCCATGACAGGCCTGAGCCTGAGCCTGGAAGGACAAAACCATGATGGCACAAGGCAGCGACACAGTAAACTCCACAAGTGCGTCTCGGGTCATACCCGTACCGTGCACATGCAGTGTAGGTGCAAAAAAAGTTAAAACAAAAGCAACAGGAACATAAAAAGATTGTGAGGTTATCTTAGCAACATAGTCCCGTTGGCCCCATGGACAAAAAAAAAAAAAAAAAGAAACTGTCCAGATGACCTGACTAAAAAATATTGGATTTTATACCTGGATTATTGAGCATGGACTTTGTTGTTTTCAACCAGTTTGACATGACTGTCAACAAGGAAGAGGGCCGGCAATGGAGGAGGGGGCGTACCAAAGAGACCATCTTATCACAAGGAGAACTGGTTTTTTCCACTTTGGAGTAAGCTGTTGGGGGAAAAATCAGTTTTGTTGTGTGTTTCCTTGACTGATGAAGCCTTCTGGATCGAAGGCGAAACGTTTCAGCACAAAAAAAATAAACTGTCCAGATGACCTGATAGAAAAATGTTGGATTGTATACCTGGATTATTGAGCACGGACTTTGTTGATAAAAAAGATTGAGTTCACCAGGAGCCTGTGAAGCTGTGGCTCGGTTGAGAGCGGCCATATTGGTGAAGCAATTTTGAAGTAATTTACAGCTAATCAAATGCATTGATTAGCCAATCATCAGTCAGTTTGAATACCTTTAAAAAGTCGTAAGTTAGCTGCTGTGGAGAAACAAAGTGTTTTTTCATCTGGTTGAAGCAGATGGCCGCTCGTCCTGAGCCTGGCTCAGTTGGAGGTTTCTTCCTGTTAAAGGAGAGTTTTTCCTTTCCACTGCTGCCTTTGTGCTTGCTCAGGATGTGAGACTGTGACGAAGTGAAGACTCAACACAATCTGCTGGCTCCTTAGATACATAAATTCACTGATTGTTTTTTATGTATGTGAATGTTTTTGTGCGGTGCCTTGAGAAAACGTCTGTTGTGACATGGTGCTATGTAAATTAACTGAATGGAATTGAGGATACCGTCAAGATGGAAAGACATCAGCAATGATCTTAGAGCTCATGATTGTTGCAGTTCTTCAGCCCCTAAGAATTATAAAACTGCCAGGACTCCATCATTCCATCCATTTATCTGTGTGTCATAAAATTCAACATACTTTTCTTTATAAAACATTATTTATGGAGAAAAAAAAACTACAAATAAAAAGAAGAACCAAAACTCTTATTTTCTTAATAAATCTGCTGGAGACTGGATTGTTTTTAAACTCATCTACGTTTCAGTCTGCCTGCTGGTGGCACTGTTGTATTACCGGCAAACTGTATGATTCTGCCAGATATAAGAGCAATAAAAACAGGAAAAATCATGTTTAAATCTATTGAAAACATAATAAACTATGAAAACTCCAGATAAATGCATAAACTGAACAAAACAGCACACTTGTTATAGTGACAAGTTATGGATTAAAACATAATGCTCTCATGGATTTTTGTTTTCTAAATAATTTAACGTACAAGATGCTAATACTAATGATCAAACCAAAAAGGTTATTTTCTTAATTCATCCTCTGAGGACACCAGAGTCAAACACACAAAACCATATCTGAAGGTCACGTGTTTTAAAAACATGCCTCGAGCTTCTGTTGGGACAAATGTGTAGTGACAGCGCAGGAGGGGGGAGGGAAGGGAAAAGGCTGCAAGGATTCATTCAAACGTGCGACAGGCAGGAGAATCTAAGCCATCTTAATTTATTTTGTTCATAAGTGGAAATGGGAATTTGTCAGCCTTGAATCCTGCGCATTCAAGCAGCGTCACACAATTCAGTGAATAAATGAAGCCCGAAACGCCTCTGCATGTTCAAATCCAAGAGAAGCGCTTTGCATAGGATGCTCTGCATGTCAAAGACTATATACCTTGACCACACATTGTATTATTTTTGTTCCTTATTTACAGGGAATGAGACACACAAAAAAAAAACCCTCAAAGATGTGAATCAGCTCTTGTTTAATTCAACAGAATGAAATTATACAATCAGTGGTTAAAATCATAATGAGTCTAATACAGGCTACATGTGGCACTCAGGGGAACAGGTTGTGCTTGTCTTACACAGGTCAAAGGGGGAAATAAGCAAATAATTGTTTTTTTTTTCTTTTCTTGCTATCGTAATTGGGTTCAGGTTTCAAAAACAAACACTTTATATTCCATACATGATCACTCATGACCCGTGTCCACACGCCATAAAACTCACAGCAGAAATAGAGTTGTTTTTCCCTGTATTTTTATTTTTTTTACCAAAATAAGAGTCTCTGCATGTGCTCATCCTGAGGGGAGAGTGAAGCATATCCCTGTTCGTGTGACGTAACCATGAAAACTACAGGGTAATATAATCATAGAACATCGTCATTATTGTATTTTATTGGTCATTTTTGACAAGAGGAACTTTCTCGTCATCCTCAACACTTTACTAATAACCTACCTTCATCAAACATCTGTGCAACAATTTAAAGTCCAAGAGTTAGAAGCCAAGCATCACTATGAGGCTGGATAGATACTGGTTGGGATAATACAGTACACTGACAGAAAAAAGAATAAATTATTAGAGAATGCACTAGAGATCATATATTTGTGCATGGCAGGTAAATAAATGTAAAACCTCAGTCTCTTACTCTTTCTTTTGAGTTTTTTAACCAAACAGAGACCAGTTTGTGTAGTGAGCTCATGTTCTGGTTATCTCTGATGGAAGCAGACGTTAGGAGAGTGTCGGACCAGAAGAGAGACACGGTGTCTGCACACTGTCCTCACCTTCACAAAGAGAACAAGCAGGAGTTCCCATTGGGTTTCTTGCTCTTACATTTCCTCAGTTTATTCCTCCCTTTCATCCAAAGCCCCTGTTTGACTATAAGGGAGGTCCTCGAGTGTTAAATTAAATAAAAACAATGTAAATACTATTTGAAGACTATGAAAGGAAGCAGGGACGATCAGTTCAGGACTGTTTGTTTTGAAGAGTGAAATGTGCATTTCTTTTCCCCTGTTTCTTTGCTCTCCACCTAAAAGTCCATGGAAATGGAGCGCTGCTGGGGGTCAACGATGGTGGTACTGTTGCGAGCGCTGTTGCCACGGATACTGAGGGTCCCACAGGCTCCTGCCATTCCACCACCAATACCTCCAGCGATGCCACTAGGCCCTGCCATACTAATGCCTCCTGCTATGCCCATCCCACCAGCCATGGCCATTCCTCCTGTAATCCCCACGGCTCCTCCGATCCCTCCTCCGGCAATCCCCGATGCACCCACTCCTCCCATTGCACCTCCTGTGGCTCCACCTCCCAGTCCTGTCGCACCACGTCCGTAAATCTCACACGGAATCTCCTCGGTGACACGGTCCTCGATGACCTGCTGGTCGCAGTCGTGAGTCTGTGAGTGCTGCTTGTAGCCGTAGCAACTCTTCTTGTAGGTGGAGGTCGAGTTGAAAGTCTTCATGGGAGGGGGCTTGGAGAAGTCGTTGTGGTAGGACAGCTCCATGGAGCTCAGGGTGGTTCGGCTGTGCTTCACGCTGCCACCACCCGTAGCCACAGAGCCTTGTGAGCCGCAATGGTGCTCGTGGACACAGCGGGACATGGTGGAGGAGCGCCGCATTTTATGGAAGCTGTCCAACTCCTCAGAGAGGTCAGCAATGTCTGAAGACATCTCCTTGTCACGGAGGGAAAAGAGCTCATAGTGGGGTGGGTCGAAGACCTCCTGGAAACCAGCTTTGTTGAAAACGCCAGGCCTCCGAGCCACAACCTTAAAAACAGAACAAATGCATTTTAGTCTGTGCGCCTCAGAAAGAGAAAGGAGGGGGCAGGGTGGGATCTGTCTTTCCCTATTGCTACTGCTCAGGGAGCAGAGAGAAGAGAGAGAGAGAATGGCTGAGTGCAGTTCACTCAGGTATAAGACAGACACACTCACCCTCCCCGCCACCCCCTCCTTTCTCTTTCTGAGGCAGAAGACAGCAGAGCAGAGATACACAACAGGCGGGCGTGCAACATACAGCCTCGTAAAAAGAAAGGAGGGGGCGGGTCTGTCTTATACCTGAGTGAGCTGCATGAGTGGCATGGATTATTTATTTAAAATAATCAAGTGCAACCCAAACCGAGCCTTTCTCTCTTTCACTGTGCTCGTTTAGAGTGTTTAGAACATTGTTAAAAACACTGCGAGTGTGGGAAGGGTTTATAAAGCCTTCACATATATACTGTACACACACACACACACACACACACACACATATATATATAT